GAGACTCATAAATAACTATTGAATATGGTGTTAGGTTTAATAGGTACTTAATATAGATCAGACATCTATATGGTTACGTTTACATAATGTTACATAAGTAGGTATGATTAACGTTTAGGCTAAGAACGATCTATGTAATGTGTTTTAGCTATACAGAGTTCTAATGAGTATCCAGTATATCCGTACAGATAACAAGTTCGACCAAACCACTATAAATACACTGTTTTGGCCAAAATTTCCGCGCCGCAGGCAAAATTTTGAAAAAAAGGGCAAAAAATAGCGTTTTTGAGCACTTTTTGAAAAATTTCGACCAAAAAATTGGGTTTTTTCGGCGCGCACTCCCCCCTCAAAATTAGTATAGATTGGCGCCTAAGGTGCCTTTAGAAAAATTTTAAGGTCAGTCAGCCAAAATTAGATATCTCAAAATAGTGTAAAGGCCCCCCCCCCCTAAATCCGCTACTGTCAGATCCCAATGATTGTTCCGATCATTGAAAATGGGGAGGAACTTTGTATTCGGGTGAGCTATAGTTCTTTTTTTCGTTTTTCAAGCAAAATCAGGTACCTCAAATAATCATCGCAATGGGTCAAAAATGATATGCCAAACTAAAGATCTTTCATTTGTGATTCGAACGATTCCTAAAAAAATCAAAAAGTTGTCCCAGTTCCGAGAAAAGTTGGTTCAAGTTTTTGATTTCTAGTTCAATTTCGAGCGAGTACAGCGATCGAGTAACGATCATTATGTGCAAAACTATTTTTAAAAAAAATTTAGGCTTAAAAAACTTAGCTTACTCTAATGAACACTAATTTTCATGTGGAAATAGTGTTTTTTTGGCAACAAAGGTTTGTTATAAGAAAGAATCAAAAACTATTGTGCAATAAATTTGAAAAAAATTGAAACATTTTTTTGTTCGTCAATCTGTTTTTGAGGAAAAATTTTGTCTATTATATCGAATTCGATAAACTTCTACGCGTTTGTATAGTTCTCGAATCGACCCTGAAATGTCACTATTTTGAAGAAAAGAAATCAAAATTTTATGAAAATGATCGGAACATATGACAGGACTTTTTTAGCGAATATGACCGGAACATTTTGGGCATGTCTTAAGCTATTTGCTTTCCAACGTCCACAAAAAGTCATTTAACTTATTTGGTTCTATTTCAACTGAACATTTGAATTCTGTCCCATCAATATCTTTTGCAAAAAAAATCGGTTTTTTGACTAACTTTTCAATTTATTACTTGACCATTCTTTCCCTTCTCGACACTTTAGAGCTTTTCTCTGTTTCAACGGTAGTATTTTGTCTAAGGAAGTTTGAATCAATTTTTTGTTCCTTTTTTTGTTCCTCCTTCATTTTTTGACGAAAAATTTTGTCTATTGTCTAAATCACTAAATTTCTAAGCGTTTGTAAAATTTTTGAATATACTCGAAAACGAAACTTTATCGAAGTCAAGAAATCATATTTTTCACAATTTTTTTTACGAATATGGCCGGAAAATTTTGGGCAAATCTTCAACTAATTGTTTTCCAACGCCCACAAAAAAGATTAAAATTTTTGGTTTAATTTCTACTGCATTTTTGAATTTTGATCCATCAATACCTTTAGCTTAAAAAATGGGGCTTTGAACTACTTTTTCACCTAGTTACTTACCCACTTTTTTCCTTCTCTACTTTCTCGAGTTTTTTTCTGTTTCAGCAGTAGTTTTATGTCTAAAGAAGTTTGAATCAAGTTCGAAAAGGTTCCAACATTTCATCTAGTGAAACTTGTGGTGATAGATTTCTGGGTTCAAGGGTTCCCAAGCTTATCTCCCCGTGTTTTTAACCCCATTTTTCTTAACCCCCTCTCAAATAACCCCACTTTAATTTAACCCCTTTTTAATACCAATTGTTAGAATCAAAGTGAAACTTACTTGAGAGGGATTCGGAACCATATCGTCATTTAAACATGCACGCTGCTATATGCGTTTTAGATTTGAACAGAAAAGACCTTGCCGATAGTCTAGACTTTGATATGAACTTGAAAACAAATCCAAACGTCATGATTCAAATTAGTTAGCAAAACTGGTTAGATTTTTCGAAAACTGAACTTGATCTTGAAGCAACTCTTGCAAATAAAAAAATAGTTGACTGGATTTAAATGAAATATGGAATGAGAACTGGTTGTGACCCAAAAGTTGATCTAAACGGACCTTTTTAAATCAAAATACTGATCAATTTAAGTAAAACTTATCTATTTTTTCGAACCATCTAAGCTTTGTCAACTTTTTTTCGAATTGTCGGCATACAACGCAATGTCTAAGGGGTTTGCCAGCCCGTAGTCCCAACCTAGCGTCCCATCCAAAGGAGCGATTGTTCCGGGAACAAATTGCTAGAGACAGCTTTTTTCAAATGCGAGTCAAGTCATTGCGTTTTTTTACGTCTCCGGGAGGCTGCAAAGAGACGTCTTTTCTCAAAAAAACTGACAAACAAAAATTTAAATTGAAAATATATACCAATAACAAAAGAACAAATATTTAACTCAAGTTCGACATAGTGCGAAAGAAATGCAAACCCGTTTTTTCTTCGTAAACATGCATAATATTCTGCTTTTTTTCGTTGAGCAGCCGGTAGTTTTTCTTTTTTTTGTAAACTGGTGACCACTCGAGGCCTTATAGAATTCAGGTTTTTGGATGGAAGCGTCTTTTTGCAAATTTGCAATCAATATCCATATACTGGGTTGTGATCCACTGAAGTATGACTGTATGCCATAATGCCAGCCTTCAACAGCATTTGTTGTTCTTGCCAAACCCGATGATGCCGCATCCCTTTGATTCCATAATGAAGGGGGGATAGGACTTCTCGATTCGGGACGAGACTTTTTATTTAGTTCGATCCAAAATTAAGGCAAAAGTCGTCAATTTTTCCGACTCTTTTATAGTGTGATTGCAAACTAATTGAATTTCCTCCACTATTTTGTCGTATGTTTTTCCTATTTTTTCTTCTTTTTCAGAAGCCAGTGCGGGTAACATTTTGAGTGCTAAAGCGAACTCGTGGTTTGTTTCGTAACCTTTTTTAATCCGAGCTCCGCAATTTTTCTCATAAAACTTTGTGAAATAGGGAAGAAACATCCCGACAGCTTGGAATCGGGGAAATTTTTCTAAAACGTTTGAATATCGGCCTGCTCAAAATCCAGCAAAAGTTTTCCAGATCTATTATCAGGGGCTAGTATTTTCAGGGCTTCTAAGAAACGGCGGTAGGTTTTTTCTGTTTTATCTGGCCGGAACGCATACATGCAAGCGGGAGCTGTTCCTGAAAGACTAACGTGTAAAAAATAAAGTTTATAAAACATTTTCGGGGTGACTTTGAAAGTTCCATCGCCAACCAGAAGTTGGATTTTCCAAGCACACGAAGCATTTCAGGGTCGACGAATAAAATAATCCTCTTAAGATAGTTTTGCCCACTGTCAAATCTTATAAAATTTCGAAGCTTCTGGTTGCTGGGGAAATTGGTAAGACTCCTTCTCGTTGCTTGGGCGCTCGTTGTGCGGTGCGAATTAAGTTTTCGTTGGTTGGTAGGGCTAGTTGAATGGCAATGTCTTCTGTAATGGGCTGAATGGTGGTTGGGACTGCGACGGTTGGGGTGTTACTATCGCTAAGATTCTTGATGTTTTTCAAAATTAGTCGAGCATCAGGTTGGCTCGTTGAAATATCGTGATTATATTCACCCATCGTTTCAAAAAAAATTGTCTCCATCCCTAATTGCTGTTGCGCGGCATTTATTTGTTTGGTACTTCGAGCAGTTCCAATTTTTAGTTGTCTTGTTTTTGCGTTTAAGGTAATACTCGTGGCCTGATATCACTAGCATTTGTTTTTGTGTGTCTTTCGACAATAAAGTAAAATAGAATGACGCTTCAAACATTATATCTGATCTGATAGAGTGGTATAACAATGGTTAAGGAAATAGGCAGTATGATTTTCATAAAACTCACAAACGTCTTTTGTTGCCTTCAATTAGCAATATGTAGGTTATCTCTGTTTTAAACGTGTAAGTGAGGGACTATTTCTCTATTTAATCAAAATGCAATTGTTTTTGAGATGCTAGAGGCATCAAGTGAATTAAGACTAGTTTTTCAGGCCTCAATTAGTACAATTAATTGGACTACTTCTGTACTTAAAAGTAGGACTTAATTTGAAACAAATTATCGTCCTTAAAAGGGTGTTAAACTGTTGTGGGGTTATCTAGTTACGGGGTTATAAAATAGGGGTTGTAAACATAGGGGGTTAAATATCGCGGGGTTAAAGAGTGGGACACCGGGTTCAAGTAAGCATGTGTGTACTAAAAAACTTTAATCTAATCGAATTTCACTTTTGTCTATTTGCTTAAAATTTCTAAACATCTGGCAATTGTTTTCCTTTATACTTTCAATGAAGCTTATTAATTTTGTTGAGAATGAAATACCATGATGGTCTGATAGGGCAGTTTTTATTGTCAAAATTTGGACATTGTGATGGTTTGTTTCAACTGAAGTTCTGTAATTTATTAAATTTGTGGCGTATTATCCTACTCCACCACCTCGGAATTTTCTATTTCCGTTCATGGTAATTGACGATGGAGAAACACTTTTCTTTTGAGTCTATAACATTGAATTTGCGGTTTGTGGCTCCTATTTGCAAAAAAAAATGAGTTTTGTTGGTATATTTTTGTTTTGTTTTGGTCCATTTCAAAAACATAACGTACGAAAACGGCCCAAAATGGCCTTCAAAATATTTCAGCTCAGAAGAACAATTTTTTGTCCGTAATTCAAACGTCTTCTCTGAATTATTTTCTGAATTAATAAATTTCAATGAGATTAGCTTTGAGTTTTAATAAGTTATAATAAAAATCATTAAAAAATTGTTTTTGAGCGGTTTCATGGTGGATAGTTTAATAAATAAATTTACTGACCAAGCCAACACTTTTACTGCCTGGGAGTTCAAGTTAAAGAAGTTAATGAGCATGGTTTGAGCAAGTGAATGGAACAAACCTGTGATTCCAGCAGTAATTGCATTGGAGACGAAAACGAATCCCATACTCCCAATGTCAATCCCTATGGCCTCCTGAAAATGGAGAGAAAACGCCGCATTTCTGAACCCGGACATGAAAAATACGACAGATGAGGGTATGACGACACTCATAGTTGAGAACTTGGCAAGAAACTTCAGATAGCCTCCAGAACTGCTTTTGCGATTGTGTTTGTTGTTCACAGTTGAATTTGTCAACGATGGGAAGATGAATATGGCAAGAAAAGAGAAAAGAGCCTCCGTAGCTCCTGAAAATATAAAAGGTGCTGTGTACCCTCCGTATGGAATCAAGATGCTTCCAATAATGGGTCCGGAAAATACTCCCAGACAGAAGGAAGTCTGGATTATGCCTGCCATCAGACCTGCTTTTTCTGGAAAGCACTTCAGAGGTATTGGAGTAAGCATTGCAAATGTCATTGCGACGCCAACACCGTTAACTGCTCGGGCAAGAATACAAGAAGCGAAGTACAAACTGGATCCAGAAATAAAAGTAAGGAGCCCAAAAACAGCAATAGTAACTGCACAGAGCAGAGTTCCAGTAATTGAGACCGTTTTGGTATTTTCTGGAGTTGTGTGACTTCCCACCAGAAATGCAGCAATGAGGCAAGAAACATCCATCGTTCCACTTACGACTCCAATCTTAGATTGCGTTAAACCTTAAAAAAGTACAAGCTAAATAACTAAAAAACGCAAGTAATGTTGGCAACATATAATCGATTCTGATGGACAAAAGGGGATAAAAATTTGGTCATAATCTTTTGGATTTTGGAGCCGCCCTCATTTCGAAACTTTGATTGAACATCAAAAATTTTTAGCTCAAAGTGAATTTGTTGCCAAATTCACTCTGAGCTAAATTCACTCCCCCCTCAGGGATTCGACCCCTGCCGACCCAAAAGGGTCCCTCTCTGTACTATTTTGAGGTATCCATTTTTGGCTGATTGACCCTAAAACTTTTCTAAATGCGCCTAAAAACACCTTTTTTGGCCTGTTTTTTTTTTCAAAAGTTCGCCTGCGGCGCAGAAAATTTGGTCAAATTGTAGTGATTTAGAAGAGGTCAGAAAATCGATTCGGTCGACCTAAAAAAAATCGACAAAATTTTCGAAAAAATCCGCTCGAAAAAATCCTAGATCAGTCCCTGACTGTTATAAATGAAGAATCTGATTGGCTAATTTTACCTAGATAAAACTGCATGGAAACAATTCTGAAAAAATGACGATACTTTTTTTCATCTGAGCTGAAAATTTTACCGCGGGGTTTGGCTTCGAAAACACTTCTTTTAAATGTAAACCTAGCAATTTCCTATTTCGACAAATCATCTGTCAACTATTTTTCACTGGCAGAACTTTTGTCATTTTTTAAAATTCATATGGTCTTAAACTAAAAAGTTGAATCTGTAGCTGACTTCAGTTTTTAGCAAAGCTTTTTTTTCTAGTTTAATTTTTTGAAATGTGAGTCTATTATCAGGGGCTAGTATTTTCAGGGCTTCTAAGAAACGGCGGTAGGTTTTTTCTGTTTTATCTGGCCGGAACGCATACATGCAAGCGGGAGCTGTTCCTGAAAGACTAACGTGTAAAAAATAAAGTTTATAAAACATTTTCGGGGTGACTTTGAAAGTTCCATCGCCAACCAGAAGTTGGATTTTCCAAGCACACGAAGCATTTCAGGGTCGACGAATAAAATAATCCTCTTAAGATAGTTTTGCCCACTGTCAAATCTTATAAAATTTCGAAGCTTCTGGTTGCTGGGGAAATTGGTAAGACTCCTTCTCGTTGCTTGGGCGCTCGTTGTGCGGTGCGAATTAAGTTTTCGTTGGTTGGTAGGGCTAGTTGAATGGCAATGTCTTCTGTAATGGGCTGAATGGTGGTTGGGACTGCGACGGTTGGGGTGTTACTATCGCTAAGATTCTTGATGTTTTTCAAAATTAGTCGAGCATCAGGTTGGCTCGTTGAAATATCGTGATTATATTCACCCATCGTTTCAAAAAAAATTGTCTCCATCCCTAATTGCTGTTGCGCGGCATTTATTTGTTTGGTACTTCGAGCAGTTCCAATTTTTAGTTGTCTTGTTTTTGCGTTTAAGGTAATACTCGTGGCCTGATATCACTAGCATTTGTTTTTGTGTGTCTTTCGACAATAAAGTAAAATAGAATGACGCTTCAAACATTATATCTGATCTGATAGAGTGGTATAACAATGGTTAAGGAAATAGGCAGTATGATTTTCATAAAACTCACAAACGTCTTTTGTTGCCTTCAATTAGCAATATGTAGGTTATCTCTGTTTTAAACGTGTAAGTGAGGGACTATTTCTCTATTTAATCAAAATGCAATTGTTTTTGAGATGCTAGAGGCATCAAGTGAATTAAGACTAGTTTTTCAGGCCTCAATTAGTACAATTAATTGGACTACTTCTGTACTTAAAAGTAGGACTTAATTTGAAACAAATTATCGTCCTTAAAAGGGTGTTAAACTGTTGTGGGGTTATCTAGTTACGGGGTTATAAAATAGGGGTTGTAAACATAGGGGGTTAAATATCGCGGGGTTAAAGAGTGGGACACCGGGTTCAAGTAAGCATGTGTGTACTAAAAAACTTTAATCTAATCGAATTTCACTTTTGTCTATTTGCTTAAAATTTCTAAACATCTGGCAATTGTTTTCCTTTATACTTTCAATGAAGCTTATTAATTTTGTTGAGAATGAAATACCATGATGGTCTGATAGGGCAGTTTTTATTGTCAAAATTTGGACATTGTGATGGTTTGTTTCAACTGAAGTTCTGTAATTTATTAAATTTGTGGCGTATTATCCTACTCCACCACCTCGGAATTTTCTATTTCCGTTCATGGTAATTGACGATGGAGAAACACTTTTCTTTTGAGTCTATAACATTGAATTTGCGGTTTGTGGCTCCTATTTGCAAAAAAAAATGAGTTTTGTTGGTATATTTTTGTTTTGTTTTGGTCCATTTCAAAAACATAACGTACGAAAACGGCCCAAAATGGCCTTCAAAATATTTCAGCTCAGAAGAACAATTTTTTGTCCGTAATTCAAACGTCTTCTCTGAATTATTTTCTGAATTAATAAATTTCAATGAGATTAGCTTTGAGTTTTAATAAGTTATAATAAAAATCATTAAAAAATTGTTTTTGAGCGGTTTCATGGTGGATAGTTTAATAAATAAATTTACTGACCAAGCCAACACTTTTACTGCCTGGGAGTTCAAGTTAAAGAAGTTAATGAGCATGGTTTGAGCAAGTGAATGGAACAAACCTGTGATTCCAGCAGTAATTGCATTGGAGACGAAAACGAATCCCATACTCCCAATGTCAATCCCTATGGCCTCCTGAAAATGGAGAGAAAACGCCGCATTTCTGAACCCGGACATGAAAAATACGACAGATGAGGGTATGACGACACTCATAGTTGAGAACTTGGCAAGAAACTTCAGATAGCCTCCAGAACTGCTTTTGCGATTGTGTTTGTTGTTCACAGTTGAATTTGTCAACGATGGGAAGATGAATATGGCAAGAAAAGAGAAAAGAGCCTCCGTAGCTCCTGAAAATATAAAAGGTGCTGTGTACCCTCCGTATGGAATCAAGATGCTTCCAATAATGGGTCCGGAAAATACTCCCAGACAGAAGGAAGTCTGGATTATGCCTGCCATCAGACCTGCTTTTTCTGGAAAGCACTTCAGAGGTATTGGAGTAAGCATTGCAAATGTCATTGCGACGCCAACACCGTTAACTGCTCGGGCAAGAATACAAGAAGCGAAGTACAAACTGGATCCAGAAATAAAAGTAAGGAGCCCAAAAACAGCAATAGTAACTGCACAGAGCAGAGTTCCAGTAATTGAGACCGTTTTGGTATTTTCTGGAGTTGTGTGACTTCCCACCAGAAATGCAGCAATGAGGCAAGAAACATCCATCGTTCCACTTACGACTCCAATCTTAGATTGCGTTAAACCTTAAAAAAGTACAAGCTAAATAACTAAAAAACGCAAGTAATGTTGGCAACATATAATCGATTCTGATGGACAAAAGGGGATAAAAATTTGGTCATAATCTTTTGGATTTTGGAGCCGCCCTCATTTCGAAACTTTGATTGAACATCAAAAATTTTTAGCTCAAAGTGAATTTGTTGCCAAATTCACTCTGAGCTAAATTCACTCCCCCCTCAGGGATTCGACCCCTGCCGACCCAAAAGGGTCCCCCTCTGTACTATTTTGAGGTATCCATTTTTGGCTGATTGACCCTAAAACTTTTCTAAAGGCGCCTAAAAACACCTTTTTTGGCCTTTTTTTTTTCAAAAGTTCGCCTGCGGCGCAGAAAATTTGGTCAAATTGTAGTGATTTAGAAGAGGTCAGAAAATCGATTCGGTCGACCTAAAAAAAATCGACAAAATTTTCGAAAAAATCCGCTCGAAAAAATCCTAGATCAGTCCCTGACTGTTATAAATGAAGAATCTGATTGGCTAATTTTACCTAGATAAAACTGCATGGAAACAATTCTGAAAAAATGACGATACTTTTTTTCATCTGAGCTGAAAATTTTACCGCGGGGTTTGGCTTCGAAAACACTTCTTTTAAATGTAAACCTAGCAATTTCCTATTTCGACAAATCATCTGTCAACTATTTTTCACTGGCAGAACTTTTGTCATTTTTTAAAATTCATATGGTCTTAAACTAAAAAGTTGAATCTGTAGCTGACTTCAGTTTTTAGCAAAGCTTTTTTTTCTAGTTTAATTTTTTGAAATGTGAAAATTGAGTTAGAATTAGGACACAAAAATACTAATTGGAAGTTTTCAGCGTTCTCGGCCCAGTAGAAAGCAATACGTATCTGTGCCCACTCCACACACGTCAAGCTATAATCAAGTGATACCTATATAAAAGCAAGTCGAAGGGGGCAGGACTAGAAGATTGCCGGAACTACCCCGAGGAGTCTCCGATCTGTATTTGAATATTTGCAGGAAAAATGCAATTGACTTCATAAATGATAAAAACAACTTGATCAATTTTTTTTTGAAAATTTAAAATAAAACGTGAACAAAACAGCTTGCATCAAGACGAAGACCTGAAAGCTCCAATAGCCGTTTTAACTTTTTTCTTTTTTTTCCATCTCTCCGACATCTAAACTACAAGTAACATATTTTGATTCTGATTACGCATTGAGAAAACCAACTCGATTCCATTCAATTTAGAACGATTTCACCTGAATAGCACGAAATATACTTCACGAGTATTATCCCAAATTGGTCAAATTTGCAATTTTGAACCCCCATAATTTAATGAAAAAAGATCAAAAAGTAATTTTTTTTTAATTTTGCACTTAAGGCATCAAAACTTTGTAGATGATAAAAAAATTTCAAAAGTGATTAGTAAAAAAAAAGAAGTTTTTCTGGAGAAACAAAACACCAAATAAAATTATTCCGCCCTTTCATTCGTAATTCGGAGCAAAAAATTTTTTGTAATCATACAAAAAAAATGAAACAAATTTCCATTTGAAGGGAAGGAAAATCATTCTAAATAATTTCTTACACCGCCAAAATTTGAAGTTCAACAGAAATTGGTGGCAATATCGATGAACTTGAGGAACTTAGTAGATCAGATCAAAGCTTTTTACGTTATTTACACGTTTTTTGCCGTGGAATTAAGGG